ATTGTTAATAAATAAGTTTTAAAAAAGAACAAAGAAAAAGAAAAAGGCCATCAAAATTATTGCAAGCTCAAAGTTTTCTGTCTAGATTAATCTCAATGTTATACATAATATGTATATAAATAACGTCAAGGGAAATACTAGCTACCATATCTGTGATTGGACTACCTCTAGGAACATACAAATTATATGTATATTAGCTAGTTAATTCCTCTAGAAACAAAAGGAAAAAAAAAAAAAAAAAAAAAAAAAAAAAAAAAAAAGAGAAAAAAAATAACTTTTGATTTGTATTCTTCCAGAAGCATACTACAAAACACAAGAAATTCATGGGTGAAGAGGGAATTAGAGAAAACCGCCTCTACCATGATGAGAGATGGTTATTAGGGGCAAATGATATAGTAATCCTCAAGCTGTTTTTGCCGGAAAGGGGTGAGCCTGTTATGGCATAGTGATGGTCCAGAAGGAGGAACTGGCCCTCTTGGAAGCATGCCTTCCATCAAGCTGTTATAGTCCCTGTCCCTCATAGCTCTGCCGCAACTCGCACCCAACACCGCCGTCGCTAAAACTAAAACAACGACTGGAATTACAATCCTCACGAAGCCCTTTACGGACCCCTTGGAGCTTGACATGATGCTTGTTTTCTTCCTCCTATACTTCAAAATTGTTGTGTAACTATTAGTCACATGTAGAGAAGAAGATCATGTATAGGACAATTTATTTATATAGAATAAGAAGAGAGAGTTGATCTTCTTTGCCGTATGTGTTGGACCATAGAACTAATGGAACTCTGAAATATTGAATGAGTTAATTGACTATTATACAATTTACTATTTTACAAACTTCTAACACCCCATTTCACACGGGGGGGGGCTAAGAGGGACTAGTACAAATCATATAATATATATATATATATATATATATATTTGAGTTTCAACGGCAAGTAACATAATAAGGTATGTGTACTTTCAAAAGTGGGATTAATAATTATTTTAGTTTCTTTTAGAATTCTGTGAGTGAATGTCAATATGTTGAACCATGCAATAGCAGCCAAGTTGGAAAATTTCACTGAATACTTTTTAAGTTTTAAATTCATGATTTTCTAAACCACTAATTTCGCTTATCTCTATCAAATCCCTCCATGCTTTCCCGTTTATTTTCTAAGAGAAAATTATTAGCCCGAATACGCTCGACTGAGATAACAAACATACACAAATGGGAAATGAAAGAGATTTGATTAAGATTCCACAACAAATTATAAAACTCTTTTGAAATTTTGACTAAATGCAGAGAAGCAGAACCAAATGACCGGTATGCATTTTTTTCCATCTATGCATCGATCATGCATTACCGAACGACAATAACAAAAAAAAAAAAATGTCGTATATATATATAATTAGCATAATCTATACCAACCATATATGGCCTCTTGGTCTCTGGTCGTTGGTCTAAATTTTTAATGAGAAATTTTTGAACTTACCTTAGAGTTAATGAGTCTAAATTTTTATCATTTACTCTTTATTAATACCTTTAACTAATATAATTTTTTATTTAAAAATAATATTAATAAAGAATAAAAATTCAAATTCATGCGCTATAGGGAGTATTGGGCTCTTTTTCTCAAATTTAATTCTTTGGAATTTAGGTTTTTCTTTAAGTACATGGATCTAAATTTTTAACTTCTATTATTGATTAATAGTAATTTTAACCCTCATTTTTTTATTAATACTCTTTTGTTAGTATAGTTATTTGATTAAAAAAATTATTAATCAAAAGAAAAAGGAAGAAAACTTTACTCACGCACTTTTAAGAGTGAGCAATATTATAAGTACCGGTAGTACTAATCATCTGATAGAAAGTAGATCATGTAATGTGAGACCTACAAATAGTATCTACTTTCCATTAAATTATAGTGTTTTTTAGTTTTTTTTTTTTTAAAAAAATATTTGTCTCCTTCCCTGAATTACCAAGCTTAGAATCATGTATTGTCTGTCGATTTTTAGAGATGATGCCTTGATTAATCCTTCTCTGTCAATCATGTACCCAACATGTATGAAATAAGTTATTGGGCGAAAGTCAAACACATGAAGTTGACCAATTCAGAGATATAAATGACAAATTTTAAATTTAACATCTCATGCTTCTAACTTCTTCATTAATAATTAAAGAGATTCTATCTGACGTACTTTTTTCTAACCGTTAGATCTATATAATTTTTAATTTTTATGTGGTTTTATATATATCTGATGGATATAAAATCTGATATACTCATATATTATTGTATCAGGGAAGGTCTCACACTTTCTTTCATTAAAAAAAAAATTATACAAAAAAATGATAAATACTAGTTGAGGACGGTGGCAGCCGCTAACCTCATGTTTGGCCTACAAACAGTAATAAACGGTTGTGATTGAATATCGTTGGATAACAAGAGAGGTTCTAAGCTTGCAATTATGTATATAACATAAATACCAGCCATGCATGTGTCGATTATAAGTTGGGGCTCAGTCCTTGTAATTCTTCAAGAGTTGGGAGCCTGCGGAGCCGGAGAATTTGTGATGTGTCAAACAGCACACTAATTAATGTTTATTGTGCAATCTTTGAATCATGCATGAGGTTTTTTTTTTTTTCGTTTTTGGTTTTTGGTCTTGTTTTTGTTGTTGTTTTTGTTTTTTTGCTAATTAATCTTGAATAATGCATGTACACAGTTGGTGGATATAATATTAATAGTAGTTATTCTAATACTTATCATCTGAGCCCGTTCACTTTGCTGATTCAAATTTAGAATTCGAGTTGAGATGTGATTTTATGTGAGAGTTTTTTACTGTAGTAAAAAAGTTAGATGTGATTGTTTGTGATAACTTTTTACTGTAGAAAAACTCGAATTAGCGAAGTGAACAGGGCTTGAATCTACCGTGTGAGAATCTTTCAAGAAGAAAACATTGTGTGAAAGTGAAGAACCCACATTCAAGTAACAACAAAAAATGGGGTGAAGAACCCACGGAAGATAAGATAAAAGCAAGACTTGTTCCGTTTCAACAGCTTGAGATTGTAGGAGTGATTTTTATTTTTATTTTTCCTGAAATTATCTTAGGAACATTTTTTTTTTTCCTTTTTCCAGGAACAGTTGTTTGATTAGTTGATATTAATCACAAAATACTAGACAATAAGTATGAAAAACATAACTATTTTAATTAATCGATTTTAAACTCATATGACAATCATATTAAATTTTAAAAATATGATAATTTTATATAATTTGATAAAAAGTTATCTTATGTCGTGTCATAAAAATTCCCCTATCTTGTAGGATCCACGAATTCTCTCCTCTTTCAAAAATGTGGATTTAGTTTCCTAATAACACCCCAAAAATGCAACTATTCTCTAGTAAGTTTGATGTTGTTGCGCTGTTAAAGTATTTGCGGTCAGCTCTTTTGTTAATAAAAAACTATTATAGTCAAAACTAGGTAGGTTTTTGGTATCTTTTTTTTAGTCGTCGTACACACTAAAAACATAATTTAAAAGCATCTTCAACAAACTCTTTAAATTTTAGTTAAAATAATTAAAGTTGTTAAAAAATTATTTTAACTAATAATTTTTAAATAATTCACTCTAATAATACTCTATATTTTAATAACATATAAATTATTTTAATATTTATTAAATTTAAAAAATAATAATTATATTTATTACGGTTGAAATAAAAAATAATACAAAAAATTAAATGATTAGTCTTTTTATGCTAGTTATATTAGTTAATGTAAAAGACATTTTTTAAAATAACTAACCATTTAACTTATAAGGAAAAGCTTTAAAAAAATAAATAAATCATTAGTTATTTTAACTAATGAAATGCTTATGGTTAGAGTTGTTAAAAAAAAATTAACATGATTTTAACAAAAACTAACATGAAACGCTAGTATGGTTAGAGTCCACCCCCATCGCGCCCAACTCTGATCCATGACTTGGTCGATTCGCGCTGAAATCCTCAAAAAATTCAGGCCTCCCCTGCCACATCTCTGGTTGTTCTTGGTTGTTTTTGGTTGTTCATATGGTTGTTCTTGGTTTGTTGTAGAGAGTGAAAAAAGCTCAGAATTGTTTGGTCTTAAAAAAAAAAAAAAGAGAACTGTTTGGTATTTTTTGAAGAACTTCTGGGATGTCGTTGGCAAAGGGGGGAAGTTCTTTTGAAGGAGAAATGTTTGGTTTTTTTTTTTTTTTAAAAAGATTTATGTTTTGATATTGATTTGTTTGTTTTCATTGAAGAACTAGATATGTTTTGGTTTTGATATGTGATTTTGGTCTTAATTTTGGTACATATGGTTTTGATTTGCAGAGGAAAAAAATTAAATAAAAAAATAGTTAATGATATGGGATTCTGGGTTTTTTTTTTTTTTTTATGAAAGGGGGAAGATGTTTGGGGATTCTGGTTTCAATTTTTTTTTTTCTCATTTTAGGCGTTTTTTTTCCAATTTTTAAAAGTTTTAAAAATATATTTTTTTAATCTTTTTAATTTTTACTTAAATAAATAGAAAAGCATAAATGATATTTCACAACTAAAAAAGCTTCAGGTATAAAAAATTATTTTTTAAGACGTTGAAATACACGGATGAAATTAAAAATAGATATATATATATATATTAAAAACTCATATTTTGATAAGACAAATGGTATTAAAATGAAATTTCCTCAATATTATAAAAACGACGGGTAATCAGCGGTCTAATTTTCCCTTTCCTGTTCCTGGAATAAAGGCAACTCAAAAAGGACGCATCGAAAAGGGTGTTGCAACGTTCGCGCTTCCCGGATATACGGCGTCGTTGCGACGTTCTAAGACGACAAAACACTTTCACTCGTGTTTAGTTCAAAAATTTGTATCATAATTTAAATTATAATTTATAATTTATTACAGTAATTTTTTTTATAAAAAAAATATATGTAAATTTAAAATAATTTTAAATTATAATTCTGAACATTAATTAAACATCCTCTTATTGAGTCTGTGCCTGTGGCGGTGCGCTTACTCTGACTCACCATTAAGACGACGGCGTTTTTACGACGACAGGAATCTCGCTTATCCAAAATTCCCCGATGAGTCTTGTCCAAAGGCAACATCCTCAAGCGACAATACCAGTACAGCCGCCCCAATTCTCGGCCAAGCTCGTGCGTCTTTGCCGGCGACGGATTCTTCGCCTCCCTCCGGTTTCTGCTCAGAGGTCAGTTTCTCGTGTTCTCCATTTTTCTTTTCACAGAAATTCTCATTATAAGAACTCTGATCTTTTTGTTTGCTTTGAAACCAAACGAACAATGGCGTTTTTGCTCTTAGAGGAGGTAGTTAAATTGTTTATGGAAGAAATAGTTAAATGTACGAGAAAGTTGCAATTTTCATGAATTTGTTCGTTTGTTGCTTTGTTTGTTTGGACTGTCGTCGATTTGAATTGTGTGCAGAATTTTCAGGCAGGTTGCTAGGATGTCTGTGACTGAAAAGCCTGGAATTTCAATTCAATCCATGGTGATAAAGCCTCCTTCACATCCTACCTATGATTTGCAAGGTGTTATCAAGTTAGCCCTCGCTGAAGATGCGGGTGATCGAGGTTCGATTCGAATTTGTCTCTTTATTTCTAGAGACTCTTATCTTGATCAATGTGTAATCACATTGGCGACTCCGGGTTGAGATTTGATTGCAATACAATAATCATTGTCATTAACATGTTGTTGGCTGCAATAGACAGTGATTTGAATTTAATGATAGTAAGCTTTTCGGGGTTTTTTTGTTAAGAGATTTTGTGTTTTTGTTTATTGTAGGTGATGTGACGTCTCTGGCCACGATTCCGCAGGATGCCGAAGTCGAAGCCCATTTCTTAGCGAAGGAGGATGGTGTTGTTGCTGGCATTGCACTCGCGGAGATGGTGTTTCATGAAGTTGATCCTTCTCTAAAGGTCTTTGGATTCTGCATTTTGCTTTTCTTTGATTACTTGTGTTGTTTGCAATGTTTATTGACGCGTCTTGTGCACTTCAACATATAGGTGGAGTGGTCGCGGAAAGATGGAGACTCTATTCAAAAGGGCCTAAAGTTCGGAAAAGTCTATGGTAAACTCGGAATACAGTTGTTCAGTAGCATTTGAAGCTTTATTGGAAGTTAGTTTTTACAAAATTGTATACAGGAACGGCATACAGCATTATTGTAGCTGAAAGAGTAGCTCTAAATTTCATACAGAGGATGAGTGGAATAGCAACTCTAACTAAGGTACTACTGTTTCATTCGTTTGGTTTCCTGAGTAGATCTAATTAGGTTATGCAACTCTTTTATGCAATAATAGAGAAAGATTTGCATATGTAAAATATGGTCATCAGATATAGATCCTATCAGAAAAGATTCATACATGACCATTGGCTACTCATTCAGTGATACAACCCTCCTTCGGAGAAGTTATAGGTTTGAAGTCAAGGAGGGCTTTCACCACAAGGGAAAAAAGGGATTTGGAGTCAGGGAGGGGTATTTAGTTTATGGTTTTTTGTGCTAGAATAACCTCTATGCACAACTTAAAACCTTTTTTGCCTCTGAAATTTTCAAGAACTTTTTTTTTTGGCTACTATTCTAATACTGGCCACTTTTGAACCTGTACATGGATGATGTGCTAGATGTGTTTGAAGAAGCAGTATCACAATGTCAAACTTGTTGGAGAAACAAAGTGTATTTGTTAAATCGTTATGTTGGTATGCTAACTTCATTAGAGGCAAGAAGAGATTTTATGAGGCCTTTTCTTCCTGTAGGCAATGGCCAATGCTGCCCATCCTGCACTTATCTTAGAGACAAGAAAAACTGCTCCAGGTTTACGTCTGGTGGATAAGTGGGCGGTATATGTTGTTTCCTCCCTTTATTGTTCTACTTTTGCTCGATTTAACATCATGGTTGTCCTAATAACACTAAATGATGTAGGTTCTTATTGGTGGAGGGCGGAATCATAGAATGGGTTTATTTGATATGGTATTAATAAAAGATAATCATATATCAGCTGCTGGTGGTGTCACAAATGCTGTAAGAGCTGTATACATGTATCTAGAGAAAAACAATCTTAAAATGGAGGTTGAGGTTGGTTCTTCTTCTTCTTCTTTGGAAAAATGTCTCTTGGTTTCCAACCTTTCTTGAACAATCGCTTGATGTTTGTCCGACACTACTATATAGTGTACCATCATATTCGCAAAAGTGCCCCCATAGTTCTCCGCATTTTGTGTGTGTATGTTTGTGTTGGTATTGTTGTGTATATGTACATTAGACACAATCAAAGAATCGTCTCTGTTGGTTCATAAACTTTTTTATGTTTTCCAGGTTGAAACTAGAACTCTAGACGAAGTACACGAGGTGTTAAATTATGCATCCCAAACAAAGACTTCTTTGACCAGAATAATGTTGGATAATATGGTTGTGCCACTCCCAAATGGAGATGTTGACGTATCCATGCTTAAAGAGGCTGTGAAACTGATTAATGGGAGATTTGAGACTGAGGTAGCCTAAACTTAAGTTCTTCATATGCCTAACAGGAACCAACACTAATGTCGTCTTTTCCTTTCAAATGTTTCAATGCCCCACTGAACTTATCTTGCAAATATCCATGAGATTATTCTAGTCGTACTCGGTATTAGTGTTGTTAATTGATGACTACCTGCTCTATGGTGACAGGCTTCTGGCAATGTTACTCTGGAAACGGTGCATAGAATTGGAGGCACAGGGGTGACCTACATTTCTAGGTATCGTTTATATTCTCTTAATCTTTATGCAGAAGTCCTTAAAGTCTAGATGTTATGTTTTCTGCAAATAAATGGGAGAAGAGGAGAGGGATGGAATTGGAGTTCCGGACAAGGTGGGGAGTAGGGCGACCTGACTGGCAGTTACCACCAATCGAGAAGAATAGAAACTGAAATGCATCATAATTAGTAACAATTGCTCAATATTTTTACAGAGCTTTGCATAGCAGTTAATTATGATGACTACAGAAATGCACTAGTTTGCCATGATTGGCAATGTGCCCTCAATTGGCAGGACTTGGCCATTTTGGTGCCCTCAATTGATGATTGGAGAATAATTCTGGAATTAATGGAAATTGGTTTGTCCCCCATTGACTCATTCTTTTGGAAATTTGAGTAGACATATTTATGCGCCCTAGGCTTGCATTTTGGTGTCACCTTCATATATCTTGTAGAGGTATGCAAGTGAGAGTAGTCGTCATTTCTTCCCCCAACTTCCTCCCTTTACTTGGAATATCCTTTTCTCATGGCATTCATAATTCCGAATAGTAGCATTGATGAAAAGAAACATTTGGCACTTATCGGATGGATATGATTGGCAAAGTGCCCCTTACTTGAATGGTTACAAGTAAAAACTCCATGGTTTCATACTTGGTCTATCTGAACAAAATGTTTCTTCTTTTCGAAACATTCTTACCTATTATTTCTGCAAGTGGTTCACTAGAAATAAGTCCCTGGTATCAGTTTACAAGCATTTAAACAGCGTATTTTGAATTGGTCCCTTTTATGATTAACAATATTAAGCTAGATTTCTCTTTTGTGCAGTGGAGCACTAACACATTCTGTGAAAGCTCTTGACATCTCCCTCAAGATCGACACAGAGCTGGCTCTTCAAGTCGGAAGACGCACCAAAAGAGCGTAACCATTCTTCAACCAACCGTTCTGCTTAAGTTGTACACCGATTGGTATGCGAAAAATCCCATATCTTAGCTGGTCAAATAAATTGGTGTCTAAACTCAGCCCACATGGTGACCAGATAGTTACTTGAACGAACTGTTCAATAATGTATTACAAAAGCTCATTGATGAAAAAGAACTCTTTATAAAGGCGGCAGATACAGGACAAGTCCTTTTGTTGATAATTAGTGGAATACAGGTATACCAGAATGGCCTCACTACATGTGACCTCTTTGCATTGAACAGGGCAGCTTGTCTTTTGGAAATGTCGGTTAGACTCATGTGATTTGTTCAATTTCCATATCATATCAAACTTTTAATCTTTCAAAGAGCTTTATGGCATAATGGTAGACTTGAAATTCCTAGAGAAATTTGTGATTTCCCCCACAGTAAGTTATACCATGAGATTCTTCTAGAGCTGGATTTATTTATTATTTATTATTTATTTATTTTTTGGGTGAGAAAAATAGGGATTGTTTTTAATATGAAAGAAGAAAAAAAAAAAATTGGAGAATGTGGATTCGTTTGGTGGTGCATGATGGTTACACATCTGGAGAAGGTATGAAAGCAACTTGGCTCATTGGGATTTGAATGTGGAATTGAGAGTGCGACTAAACATGAAACCAACATATTAAGAGAGAGATCTAGACCTCTGTGGAGAGAGGGAATATGGATTATTAGATTATTGTGGACTTACTTTCAAATATTAAGAGAGATCTTGCTCTTGATGCCCTCAACGAATTAATACAAATTTGTTTCCTTTTTTTTCTAACAGAAAAAATACAATTTTGTGAATTCATCAAATTAATGCAAATTCCATCTTCTAGAAGATTAATTAATTAATTACGTGTATAAAATCTTTCTGCTCAAATTTTTTAAAGCCGGATTGAAACAAAGTCTAGCAAATTAAGTTGCTGCGAATAACATTGAAATGCTTCGTATAAGTGATTTATTAGTTTGATACATCATCGTTTCTAGTATATTCTTGCAGCCATGCTTGAATTGAATGCTCCTTTGGTTGGACTTGGATTTTGCCAACGTCTATCAAATAATAACCCTTCTTTTCTTCTTGGTTTTTCATATTCTTTTTCCTTTCGGTTCTTTTATTAGTTTTCTTGTTTCCTCCCTTTACTATTCTTCCTTTGTCAACCCTTAAATACTAATTTAAAGTTTCTTGTATATATATGTGGTGTGCAATTCTCATTTACATAATCATATTAAATATAAATTTTTTTTTTATTAAAACAAAGTATGACAATTTAACTCTCACGTTTTAAAACGGTAAAAACCTTTTACTTCATAATAGTTATTCTCTCAAGGGATTTCACTTTATGATATTAATTGAGTAGATTGCATTCGCAATTAATAATAATTTCCTATTCTTTTTGCAATCATCTACATCTATGAGTCTATTTATTTTCCTTTTCGCTAAAAATTGGTCTACGAGTCTATCCTTTTCCTTTTCGCTAAATATTGGTCTTGTTCTCCTTGTGTAAAACATGTATATTTATTTTCAGTTTGTTATGCTACCAGAAACTTCTATGATTTCAATAAATAAATTTCAGCACTTACTTTTGAGATCTAAATATATTTCACATCGTATTTTTCTGTGATTGCACTAATAATATATTCTTCACATCTTATGCCTAAGGTTTATTTTACACAATCAGAAACTAAACTGTTGTGAAACTTTTTATTTTTTATTTTTTTGTCTCTGTAATATATAGAAGAATTCTTCAATAGGATATGAAAAAAATACAGTCAAAAGATCCAGTTTTAAACTATCTGCTTTTTATCAAATTATGTTGAGTTGTTATACTTTTTTAATTTAATATGATTTGTTCGATAGTTTAAAATAGTATCTTTCTAGTCCCCACTTAATTGTCCAAAAATGTATTCAATTTCTGAGGTGAAAAAAATATTGAGCAGCAAGGTCAACGGAGTTTTCATGACCAGTATGGCTACCCTCTTGTGGTCAATTAAACTGCCCCCACACATGGCTTTCTGTCCCTTTTTTTCAGCCCCTTATTTCTACTGTACATACTTGAAGAAGAATTGGTTCAAAAACAAAAACAAAAACTCTGTCCAAATTTTCATTTTCATGGGTTGCCATCTAAAGATACCAACTATTTATGGGCTGCCTCTGATTACTTTTCTAAATTTAAATCAAAAAAATTAAAGTACATTAAAAAAAAAAGAAAAAAAGAAAGAAAGAAAGAAAGAAACCCCTTGAAAGGCAGTGTAGAAAGATTGTAGACAACTTTTGTGCTGAAGATGTCATACCCTTTGAACACTGTCCTTTAAAAAAGATGGCTCGTATCTTTTATTTGAGATCATAGTCACCAAGCAATTTGATCTGAATTCCTTCTCATTGGAAAATGGGAATAGAAAAGAAAAGAAAAATATGCTCCTTTCTAGAGCAAGGCCAAACAAACAGAAAAGCCCTGTGGTTTGGTTTCAGCTGCAATCTTAAACTGAAAACAATGAAAAAAGAAAAGAATAAAAGTGATTGGTATTTTTCTTTTCGTGTACGTTTATCCCTGACATGGAAATTCATTTCTCTCCAACCATCTAGGGGTACGAAATGAAACAAATAAATAGTTATTATTTTGGTTCATTATAACCGGCCTATGCGTTGCTTCATATAAGGTTATATTATTTAAGAGGAACATTTAAAATGTGACAGGATTTGACCTACAAACTGCTATGCCTAAATAAATATTTACCATCCAATGGGGCGTCTCATATTTGATTAAGGATAAACTAGAGAGATTAGGTGAAGAGGGAAATTAGAGAGCCAATCAAAATTACCTGCCAATACCCAGAAATGCTATATCTAAAAAGAGATTGGAGGTTTGGTCTGAGTCTTTTTCTCAACTTTTAATAGTTGTGCTGCTATTATTCTTCACCACATTGGACAACATCCTCTTCTTTTTTATTTAGTGGTAATCTTACAAACGATCCTGAGTTTTACTGTCAAATCTCACTTTTGTCCCTCACTTTTAAAGCGTCCTAAACTTAATTAGAATCTATTTATTTGTTTGAGTTGTAGTTCTTTTAATCAGCTGAGTGTTAAAAAGAAAAATAAATATTGACGATTTCAATTAACAGGCGTTTATTTTACATTTTCAGTTCACATCAAAATCACGTGTATATTTTGTGTTATATCAGTAGAATGCTATAATCTATTAGAATAACATGCATATTTCGTCCACTTTTAAAAACTATAAAAAAGACTAAAAGTGAAACAAATTGATAAATTGAGAATGAGTTTGTGACGTTTTAAAAATCGAAGACAAAAATGATATTAAAGATAAAAAAAATTATTTGTGAGATTAATCCTTGTATTTATTATTTTTTCTTGTTGTTTTTTTTTTTTTTTGGTTACTATTAAGTAGACATCTTTAGCAAAATAAAGTTACCCTATCCAGAGCATATAAACCTATTATTCTTATGCAAAACCTATTATTCTTATGAAAGTGAAACTCATCTAATTATTCTCAATTATAGATCAAAATGACTTAATATAAGTCCATACATGAGCCTCTCGTAAGGTAAGATTCACACTGATTAAATGACTGAAAACGAATATTTTTGACATTGGCGAACATTCTTACAATTCTCCACTCACTATAAAGATAACACCAAATGCGCGTATAGGTTAAAAAAAAAGAGAAATTAAAAAAGAAAAGGTTATAAAAAAAATAAAAATAAAAAGAGAAAATACTGAGTACGAAACTAAGATCAAGTGGATAAAAATAAGATAACACCAAATGCGCGTATAGGTTAAAAGAAAAAGAGAAATTGAAAAAGAAAAGGTTATAAAAAAAATAAAAAAATAAAAAAAAGAGAAAATACTGAGTACGAAACTAAGATCAAGTGGATAAAAATAATGAGTACCGTATTGCGACTAGTAGTTAAAGAATAGTCCTTGGTACTTTTTCAAAAAGCTATTTATACTAATCCAACCTTAGCGTCACTTTTGTCCAATTACAAAGAGAATCCTCAAATTTTCTCAACCATTGCAACTTTTTTCTTTGTCATTAGATGGCAATAAGCAATAATGCTAGCTCAAACCAAAAGTTCATAAGTGCGATTGAGATATTTACCAACTGATTAAAGAGAAACTTTGGAAATAAAGACGCGACGCAAAACCTTAGTGGATTTATATGCCCAGTCAATGTCATTAGAATGACCTAGCCGACCATGCCCGAAAAACACCAAGGCATACTACAACAATTACAATAGGAGGATGACAGAGAAAAATTACGGTACGACATGGAAAAAAAAATCCAGCTGATAGAACTCAATTACTTGTTTAATTTTTAATGTCTTAATTAACGTATAACTAATCACATTATGACATAACATTTAATAGATCTAAATATTAAAGTAAAGAAAAGTTAGTTAAAAGATATTTCATTTTAAAAAAATGATGTGGCACAATCTGATTAATTAGAAACCATTTTAGATATCAAAATCGGACAAATGATTTGAATCCTAACTGATAGTTACATTTATAAACCATCTGATTATTCTGTTAAGTTGTCATACTTTTCTTAAATTGGTATGATTCTTATATCATCTAAGAATTCTTTATGATGTTATATCATTATCCATATAAAGTTCTTTAAAAAGAAAAAAGAAAAGAAAAAGAATAATTTTTTGGTTTCAAATTACATCAGAATCATATCACATTAAGAAAAGTAAGATAAATTAAAGAAACTTGATGAAAATATAATTATTAAAAATTGTATCCTACTAAGAGAACAAAATTTTCATGTCCTACCACACTTTGCAAAAAAAGAAATAAAAAAGAAAATCTAATTCGCGTCCTGAATCATTAGAATATTTGTACATTTGAGCTCAAGTATTCAAAGATAATGCTATAAGATACTCAATACTTTAAAGATATTAAGTGGCTAGTTTTTAAGATCAGGGGCTAATTTTTTTTTTAAGGTGGATGATGACATTCCAATTGCATCATGCTTATAATATGACCAACCCCATCTCTGTCATCAAAATCAGACAAATGATTTGAATCCTAACTGATAGTTACATTTATAAACCATCTGATTATTCTGTTAAGTTGTCATACTTTTCCTAAATTGGTATGATTCTTATATCATCTAAGAATTCTTTATGATGTTATATCATTATCCATATAAAGTTCTTTAAAAAGAAAAAAGAAAAGAAAAAGAATAATTTTTTGGTTTCAAATTACATCAGAATCATATCACATT